AAAAAAAAAAAAAAAAAAAACAAAAATGTTGCCAGCTGCACTGTTGGAAAAACAGACTATGGTTTGCATCTGATCCTTAGAGTGACCTCTCCACGAAAGGCTAAGCCAGTAACCTAAGTAATACTCAGTCATGATTGCCTTTCTCGCTGACAAAATTCCTAACTTTCAGGCTACACGAATGGCTATTTACGTATTAATTGTTGAGACAACGTTGAAAGCTGTGCCAGGATTGATCATGGTAGTCTCGACAACCGCCGGATCGACTGTAATGGTCAACATAATGGCATATGTTACTGGAATGAGTAATCCCATATGTCATGCCTGTCATCCGTTCATTTTTGCATTCGCGCACCGCGACTTTAAAGAAGTCCTGTACCGTCAGTCTGCACAGCTTCAAAAAGGGGATTCCTCAAAGTCGGGCGCTGGAAAAGTTTCAGTTGTTGCTCCTGTCAACAGGGATCGGCTAGTGGTAAATTTGCCTCTCCAGCCTAGTCCATCCACTAGTCGTTGCAGCGTTGCAACTCGGTACTCAAGTCGCACATCACTTTCCGGAAAAGTCGAAAACTCGGGCAACCAATCGCAGATTAAGCAGAAAACAGTGTAAATGCTACTGCTGTAATTACACTACAAGTATTTGTTGAGGATCTCCGGTTAGTGATGCTGCTAAGATACTCTGGATATATCAAGAATATTATGTCTACAGTATCCCAGTTACGTCACTGGTCCAGGCAAACAGCGTGGATATCTAATGTTTGTGTTTTTACTGTGGCCTGTGCTTCATAGCTCGCTGCCTGTTCGATGTGTGTGCGCTGTATTTGTATTGCTGTTGGTAAATGGAGGAAACTGAGGATAAAAATTGCTAAATTTGGGGTAATAGCATCGGAAGAAAAAAAGAAAAAACAGGCTTTCAAAACTGCGACAAGAATGCTAATCAGTTTGACGCTAGCAACAGCATTGAAAATCTAAGGCAGCAAATGGAAATGAGCAAAAACGTATATTTAACAGCAGTCAGCCTTTGTTCACATTCTTGATAAATTCTTATGATCTCGTATCTAAGTAACCGAACCATATAATGCTACGATGAAATTGGTGTAATCAACATGTGTACGCAGAAATGGTTGTATTTTCTTTCTGTTTGTATTTGTATAACTCTTCCTGTTTTGTGCTTCTTTTCGCTTCAGTTTTATTCATTTCATTCTATTTAAGTTGCTAACTTTAGTGCAATTCTTGCTGATTACGGCTCAAGGATGAAACACAGACTTCACCACGAATCAAACACAGATATGCGCGATGCCCTAGTCCATCATCTCGGTCTTTTTATTCCCTTTTTCTAGAAGTTGCTTTACAATGTAGCTAAAACTTG